GTAAGGTTTCTGTTGAGAAGTATGATAATAGCCTGATGGGTTTTCCTTTGTATGTGAACTTTTTTCTCTCTCTAGCTGCTTTTTAAAGCCTGTCCCTATCCTTGATCTTTGCCATTTTAATTATTATATTTCTTGGTGTTGTCTTCCTTGGATCCCTTGTGTTGGGAGATCTGTGCACCTCCATGACCTGAGAGACTATCTCCTTCCCCAGATTGGGGAAGTTTTTAGCAATTACCTCCTCAAAGACATTTCCTATCTCTTTTTCTCTCTTTTTCTTCTTCTGGTATACCTATAATGAGAATATTGTTCCGTTTGGATTGGCACAGTTCTCTCAATATTCTTTCATTCTTAGAGGTCATTTTTTCTCTCTGTGCCTCATCTTCTTTGTATTCCTCTTCTCTAATTTCTGTTCCATTTACCGTCTCTTCTACTGCATCTAATCTACTTTTAAATCCCTCCATTGTATTTTGCATTTCAGATATGAAATTTCTTTGTGACTGAATCTCCATCTTAAATTCATCCTGAGTTCTTGAATATTTTTCTGTACTTTCATGAGCATGTTTATGATTTTTATTTTGAACTCTCTTTCAGGAAGATTGGTGAGTTCAGTTTCATTTGGCTCTTTTCCTGGGGTTTGTGAGATTTTGGTCTTAACCAGTTTCCTTTGATGTTTCGTATTTCTATGTGGCACCCTCTAGTGTCCAGAAGCTCTAGTCTCTGGAGCTGCTCAGTCCCTGGAGTGAGGTTGGGAGTTGCAGGAGAGCTGCACTGGTGCCTGGGTGAAGAAAAGAGCTGTTCCCTGCTTCCTGGCTGCAGTGCCTGTCTCCACTGTCAGAGCCAGTGGTCGGAGCACACAGGTTTAAGCCTCTGTGGTTTGCGTCTGTAGCTGGCATAGTTGGGGCCTCCCTCTGGCTGGCCTGACACCAGGGAAGGGACTCCTGGTTTGGTTTGTGAGCCAGTGCCGGCAGGCCAGTAGGAAGGCACAGCAGGCTGTATATCACAGTGGGGAGCCTCAGAGCTGAGTAGCCAGCCAGGGGAATGGAGCGCCTGAAGCTTCTGAAAGTTCCCAACCTGCTGGGCAGAGTGTGCCCAGGCAAACTTGTCCACTTATGCCTTCTCCCTGCAACAATCTCCCTGCAAATCTCACCCCTTAAGCAGCCCTCTCGCTGCTAGGAAGCCTCTGAGACCACCTGCCTTTCCTTTGTCCAAGAGCAGCCAGATGTGGTTCCCTGTTTTCCACAAACAGCTGGAATCTCAGTCTCTCCAAGTATTCCACTTGTCTTAGCTTTCCAACCCCACCAATCTCCAGAGCACCATGCAATGTAGGTTTATTCTCCCAAAGCAGATCTCCAGGGATGGGTGTTCAGCAGTCCTAGGCTTCCACCCCATCCCTGCTGTGTTTCTCTTTGTCCCACCTATGAGCTGGGGTGGGGGAAGGGCTTGGGTCCTGCCTGATCATGGCTTTGGTATGTTGCCCTGTTTCATGAGGTCTGCTGTGTTCTCCAGGTGTATGCAGTCTTGTGCAGCCTTCTTTCCTGTTGTTGTTTTAGGATTCATTGTATTAACTGTATTTCTGTATTATATGTGGTTTGAGGAGGAGTTCTCTGTCTCACCTCTCACGCCATCATCTTGAATTGATCCTGAATCACATTACATGTATTTTTAGGCTACATTTTTGGGTGTATGTGAATTTAGAATTGTTTTCTTGTTAATAAACATTTTATAATTTTGTAATTGTCCTCTTTATCTGTAGTAATGTCATTTGCCTTTAAAATCTATTTTGCCAAAATTAATACACCTACACCAGCTTTCTTTTGGTTAGTATTTGGATGGTATATCTTTTTCTGCCTTCTGGTGGAAACTTCGTATATTTTTACATTTTAGGTGTGTGTCTTATAACCTGAAACTAGTTGGATATTATTTTAATCCAGTTGAACATTTTGTGTATTTTATCTGGAGAGTTTAGACCTTTTTCACTTAATGTAATTCCCATATACTTTTTTCAGCATATGTGCTTTATATTTACCCCTCTCTGTTTCTCTTTCTCCTTCTCCTTTAACTTTCTCATTTTGAGAATTGTTTTAGGAGTTTGTTGTTCTCTTTCCATTGTTATCTGCTTGTGTAGATACTAATATGATTTTTCTCTAGCCATCTAGTATCTATCCTATTTCAACACGAATACTTAGTAGAGGTCAAAGTTAATCATTTCCCTCTTCCCATACAGTTAAGACTTCAGAAAGTTTTAAGTCTGATCACACCTTTCCCTAGTTAGTCCTATCCTATTTCCTCCCTCAAATTAGGCATCAAAAAGAGGTTAGCCTTTTTTTGTTTAAATTACCCACACACTTACCAATATCTTGTCATACTATTCCTTGTTGCATTTCAGCTGTTTAATTTCAGATCATTTTTCTTTTGCCTGAGGAAGCATGGCTGTTAGAATTTCTTTAGATGAGAGTCTGTTATTGGCCAACTGCCTCAGTTTTTGTCTGAAAATTTATTGCACCTTGGCTCTTAAAAGATATTTTTCACAGTGTATAGACTTCAAAGGTTGTCAGTTACTTTCATTAAACACATTGGCTAATATTATTTAGTCTTGTGTTTTGAGAATTTAGTCATTAGCTTCCATCTATTTGAAGGTGATTTTTATCATTTCACTGGCAGTTTCTAAGAATATATCTTTTTATTGGGTGTCCTGTTCTATAGTTTTACTATGATGTGTCTGAGGTTTGGACTTCTGTTTTTTTTTATCTTGTTGGAAGTTGTTAGGAGTTCCTAGATTTTCACCAATTTTTGTAAAACTCTTAGCCTTTGTTTCTTCAAAGATTTCCTCTTCCTCACTCTGTTATGTCTTAATGTTATTCTGATGGGACTTAGTTCTTCTTTTTTCCGTGTCTCTTAACCTCTTTTAAAAATATATTCCATCTTCCTGAGCTGTATTTCTGTATGAATCAGTTAATTAATTCTCTTTATTAGTGTGACCTTGACAAGAGCAATTTTAGTGGAATGATGGACTCCAAAGCCAGGTCAGTCTGGATTGATGAGAAAATGAAAGGTGAATGATTATATTCTCTATAGTTAACATGGTATGGAAGTGTTGTTGTGAAGGGGGTAGAGAAATAGAAGGAGTTAAAGAAAATGCTTTTTTAAAGTTAAATGACATTATGGCAAGTTTGAATATTGATAAGAACGATCTAGTGGAGAAAAGAAATTTGATGCAGTAGTAAAAGGGTAATTTATGAGTGAAAACTCAAAAGTGAAAAAGGACTGGGTCCAAAATGTCCTATTCTGTGCTTCATCTGTGTTTCTGCACCACCCTCTTCAAGATTAATGAAAGGGACTTCTTTAAAAAATCAGGCTGAGGTGAGCATGCTGTCAATTTAATGATGTTATTTCAGTTACTCAACAATCATCCATTTACATTTTATGTGCAAGGCACTGTGCTAGGCTCTGGGAACAGAATTATAAAAAGATAAACATGGTTCATGTGCTCATGAAACATATAGGCTAGTGGTGGTGGTGAGTGGGTGTGATGTAACCAAATACTTCAAAGGGGAAGTATAGGACTCTATGAGAGCATTTAATGGGGACCTTAATCCCTTAACCTTGCTCTGGAAGATTAGAGAAGCAACATTTAAACTGATTCCTAAAGAGTAAGCAGTTAGCTAGGCACCAAGAGCATAGATAAAGGCCCTAGTAAAGCAAGGAATGTGCAGAGATTTAAGAACTGAAAGACTAGAGCATAGTGAGTAAAAGACAATATGACCTTAGGAGGAATAGCAGGTACCATATAGTGCAGAATCATAAGAATGTTATACTATCCTGAGACCAGTAGAGAAGCATTGAAGGGGCTTAAACAGAATAGTAACAGAATCCATTTTCATACTTCTGTTATAAAGGTGTACACATAAGGGTACTAGAGCTTGATGCCATTAACCTTAGAGTCATACAGTTAACTCCCCTTACAATTATTTATTTACTTAGCCATCTAATATAGCTTCCTCAGTCAGACATTAGTGGAAGTTCCCTTGGAATTAATGGAATGATTTTCTGCTGTGTGTGTGTGTCAGAGAGAGAGAGAGAGAGAGAGCGGTTGTGTGGGAGGAGTCTGATAACTTAGTCAAGATACTATTTAAAAATTTTAACTAATACAGCAATGACAAAATTAGCTAGAGCTACTTGGTATGTTAATAATTTATGCATCATGCAATCTTAGAAATCCTTAGCTGCTATCTTTTAAAATGACCTATTTTTAAAATGATTTTTTAGATTCTAAGAAATTATGATGAATTTATATAAGGATTTGTTTTAACCCCCAAGTTTTGTTTTTAAACTTAACGTAAATAAGATTGTTATTCTATTATTTCACTTTTTATCATAAATGTCAGAACATACTATTCTATTTGTGTTATCAGCTTCTTTAGAAATTATTCAGATTCTGAGTTGTCATTTTGACTAATTAAAACTTATCTTGATTCTTAGATTTTATATTTAATGAATACCTAACACTATGCCTTAAACATAATAGGTGGTCAAAATATGTGCTCAGTCAAGGTATCTCATATAGTGCCCTAAGTTACACCTTATAAAATTTCCTTCCTTAATCCCTTCCCTTTACCCAAACATTTTGCCATTTCTGGATGTTCCTTTTCTTCCTGGCTTTATAGTCTTTAGTATTCTACTCTGAATGTTGTTATTTTGCTATTTTCCTTTACTCAGAATGCCTTTTTAAGGTTTAATTGGCCTGAATCTTTTCCTTGAGACTCATGTACTTGCTATTGTGTATTCTAGACTTTTATTGTTTGCCAGTTTTCTCTTAGAAAATGTCTTTTTTCCTCTTCACTTTTAATCTACCTTAATTTATACTGAAAAAACCATCCTTGAGTCTATTTATGATACTGTGTTTTGCACCATTTTAATTGCAGTCTTCCCATACTGAGGAACTATTTGATTGTAACTGTGTAATTGATAAACATAATTTTATGTATTCTGTTTTTATTTAGTCTATTGAAGAAAATGAAGTATATTTGCCTAATGATGAAATTTGGACCTATGATATTGATAGTGGTTTGTGGTAAGTAATTTCAAATTGCAGAATGTCCAATCTTAGTATCTATTATAAATGTTTTCATAGACTACAGGGAATTTAAGACCATACTTCAAACTTACTAAAGCATTCATTATCTCCCTTTCCTTTTCTTCCAGTGCTGTATTCTCTGTGGCTCTTCCTTTCTCCTACTCCCTTCCTCTTTCCACTCTGTCCTTTACCATTTTTCTCAAGATTAAGGCTATCTCTGAAGAATTTGCTTTGTTCTAATTAATTCCCCGTTCAAGTGACACATATGAAAATTTGTCATACCAGTAGGTTAAAAAATCTTTACCATGGATCTTCTTAAAGTTTTTACAGTATTGGCCATCATTACATTTTAGTTATAATTGTCAGTGACAATTTTCATTGAAAAGGTACTCATGGAGTTCAAAGCGAATTTTAATTTTTTTTTGGGAAAGTTACAGAATTCCATGTTATTCTTGCTGCAGGACAGTGCATCTCATGGAAGGAGAACTCCCTACCTCCATGTCAGGAAGTTGCGGTGCTTGCATTAGTGGAAAGCTGTATGTCTTTGGAGGATATGATGACAAAGGATACAGCAATCGAGTAATATTTTTTTTCAATTTAGGAGTGCAGCAAAATGTAATGTTTAATGTCTCATTTCATCTCACAATTTTACAAATATTTTAAAAAGAGGATATATGTAGAGAATTTGAGTTTCTACCTATGAGATTTTTAAAGATAAAGTGAAAATTTTATCTATAGAGCAAGCATATGATGAATGGAAAAAGAGTCATTTCAGTATGTTTTATGTATCATTTTTTGCTTCTAAAACAGTCTCATTTTCATTAACTGTATGGTTAAAATTTTTACCTTTTAAAAATAAAGAATTACTATTAATTTTTGGATCATAGATCCCTCAGATGTAGATTTAATTTTTGAATGCCCTTTCTGTTAATGGTGTTCTCCTCTTTTAAAAGCTTTATTTTGTTAATTTGCGAACAAGAGATGGAACCTATGTTTGGGAAAAAATCACCAACTTTGAAGGACAACCACCCACACCACGTGATAAACTTTCTTGCTGGGTATATAAAGACAGGTAATGAAGCAAAATCATCTCATTAATTGAACTTAAGTAAGGACTATAGCTTGTGGCCAAAAGAGAGGAAACTTGACAGTCTGAATTTTTTTCAAGGTAGGATTACATATTTGTTTTGGCACTGATGGTAATGGCAGTTCTGAATCCTGGATGAGAGCATGCCGTAAAAACAAACATTATGGAAACAACTGTTTGGTTTAATGCAATTAGTTGATTATTTAATTAAAATTTCTGAATAGTTAATACATTCATATGGTTCAAAACCTGAAACCATATTTAAAAATATACAATGAAAATTCAGGGTATATGACTTTTTGAAGATCATCTGGTGATTCCAAGATACAGACAGGTTTGGGAACCACTCTTCTCAGTGTTACTTCATGCACATGGAAGTAAATATGTATGTAGATATGTATATATGCCTCTTTTCCCCCTCCTCCACACACAAATAACAGTGTACTCTGTATACTGTTCAACACCCTGCTGCTGCTTTTAGTCGACAGTATACCAGTGGAGATCATCTTTTTTTATCCCTAGTTGGAAAACATGTTCTTGGGGTTTTTTTTGCAGCTGCATAGTATTCTCCTCTGTGAATATAACATAAATGCCTTTCCATCTTAGATGAAACAGCAATTAGATTCTTTCAATTCCTTTGCTATTACAAACTATACTTTAGTGAATATCTTTATATGTGTGCGCACACACCTGCATGTAAATATAAATTACAGATCTGTCTGTTAGATAAAATTTCAGAATTAGATTGCTGGGTCAAAGGGTAATGCATTTATAATTTTGATAAATGTTTAGTTTGCTAGGTCTGCTATAACAAAGTAACATAAACTGAGTGGCTTAAACAACAGAAATATATTGTCTGACAGTTCTGGAGACCAAAAGTCAAAGATAGCATGTTAGCAGAATTGGTTCCATTTTGGATTTTGAAGAAGAATCTATTCCCTGCTTCTCCCCTAACTTCTGGTGATTTACTGGGAATTTTTAGTGTTCCTTGGCATGTAGAAGTATCACTCCGATCTCTGCCTTCATCTTCACATGCCATTCTCTCTGTGTGTGCTTGTCTGTCTCTACATTTTCCCTTTTTAATAAGGATACCAGTCATATTGCATAGTGCCTACCCAAATTATTTCACTTTAACTTTACTGCCTGTGTAGAGACTTTATCTTCAAATGTCACATTATGAGATACTAGGGATTAGGATTGCAACAGAGGAATTTTGGGAAAACACAGTTTCGACCCATAACAATGGATTTTACCAACTTTTCCTCTATAGCCATTGTACTATTTTGCATTTTCTGCAATGGAATGCTTATTTTTCCACAGCCTTGCCAAGAGTTTACTGGCAAACTAAGATTTTTTTTGCTAAACTGATAGGTGAGAGATGGTGTCTAAGTCTTATTTTCATTTTCATTAAATTTTTTTTTCTCAGTTTGAATGTATTTTTGTATGTTTAAGGGCAATTTTCTTTCTTTTTCTCTGAACTGTTCATGCCTTTGCCATTATTTTCTATTTGATTATTGGCATTTGTAGTCTCAATATATGAGAGTTATTTATGTATTAAGGAGATAAGTGTTTGTGATGTGATATGAAAGTACTTTTCCAGTTTGTAATTTGTCTTTTGACTTTGCTTAAAGTGAGTTCTGTGTGCATTAAACAGCTTTCTCAGGCTGTTATATAGATAAATTTATCAATAATTTCTTTTGTGGCTTCTTGATTTTGAGTCTTGATTGCAAAGGCTTTTTATGCTCCAGGGTCACACACTAATTTTCCCCTCATACTTTTGTCATTTTATTTTTCACATTTGAATCAGACTCACTTGCAACTTACCCTGTGTGTGGTATGAGATATGGGTCCAGGTTTCTGTTTTTCTAGATGAGTACCTGTTTCTAACTCAGTTATTTCAGATGCTACCTTTATCATGTATTTACTAAAATTCCTTCAGTATTTGGATCTGTTTCTGGGTTTTCTATTCTATTTCATTGATCATCTGTCTATCAATATACAAAAACTTCAAAATTTAGATATTGAAGCTTTACAGAACATCCTTATAGGACTAGTACGAATCATAGGTGTGCACCTTAAATGACTCTCATAAAGTGAACACACTTATGTAACCACTACCCAAGTGAAGAAAGAGAACATTATCAATACTCTAGAAACCTCATTATGTCCATTCCCAGTCACAATGCTCAGCCTCCTTCCTAAAGGAAGCCATTGTCCTGACATTATCATTTCCATTAGCCCCCTATTCCTTTTTTTATATTATATATATGTAATCCTATAGACTTTATTATTTTTTTCAAAAATTATATTTTTGAGATTCATTCATGATGTCATGTGACCTATAGTTTGTTTTCTCTCCTCTGTGTTACTCTGTTGAATGAAGTACTACAATAGATTTATTAATGCTATTGTTGACAGATCCATTTGGGTCATTTCCACTTTTTGACTCTTTGGAATAATGCAGCTATGAACATTCTATGTATTTTAGTACATAACGGTAAACATTTCTGTTGGATAGGTATGTCTTCATTCTCTTAATGGTGTAATTTGATTTTAATATACTCTAATTTGCCAATCTTTTCCTTGTAGTGCTTTTGTGTCCTAGAAATTTTTCTTTCCCCAGGGTCATGAAGATACTCTTCTAAGTTATCTTTTAAAAACTTCATTATTTTATCTTTCATGTTCAGTTTCACAACCCAGCTGGAATTGGTTTTTGTGTGTGTTGTGAAGTACGGGTAAGGTTTCATTTTTCCATTTGGATAACCAACTGAATAACCAGTTGATCCAGGAGCACTGATTGAAAAAATCATACTTTCTTCATTACTCTGCAGTGCTATTTTTGCCATAAATTCAGTGTCCATATATTGATGGGTCTGTTACTGAAGTCTCTTATCTTCTGTTGAACATTTGCCTGTCCTTGTGCCAGTACCATGTTGTCTTAATTTCTATACTTTTATAATAAGCCTTGAAACTGGTAGACTTACATTTATTCTCAATTAGAGAAAACTGCAAAGTGTAAACATATTTATTCTCAATTAGTTCTCCTGAAAATGTGTTCTAGCTGTTCTAGGCCCTCTGCATTTCTGTATAAATATTGAATTATCTTGTTAATTTCCATAAAACCTACTGGAATTTTAACTGTAATTGTATTGAATCTAGAGTTCAACTTGGCGAGGACTGACAGTAGTGAGGCTTCAAGTCCACGAACATAGCTTCCTTCTGTAACCCTCCATTTCTTTAGACATTTTAGCCTTTCTTTCTGAAGTGTTTTATAGTATCTATGTAAAAGTCATACACACTTTTCATTAAAATTTTCTTAGGTACTGATTCTTCTGGTTGCTATTTTAAATGGTATCTTTTAAATGTTTTCATGTTCTGTTTCTGGCTAGTATATAGAAACAATTGATTTTCATATGTATTCGCCTGGTATTTAGCACACTTACTAAACTCTTTTATTAATTCTAATACTTTAGCAATAGATTTTTTTTTATTTTCTAAATAATCAGAATATCTTTAGATTAGGTAGATTTTCTTTTTTCTTTTCCCAATCCTTATACTTTTATGTGTGTATATGTGGGGTGGGGGGCGCTTATTACACTGTTTAAGACCTTCAGTAGTTCCAATGCTTACATTTATATTTTAATATACTACCTTTAGCTTTCTTTTTCTTTATACAATATCTATTGTTTCCCTACTCTAAGCATCAATAAAATTAGATTACAGCCTCCTTTTCCCTCCCCCACTCCTTTTCATTCAACACCAGTTTTGTTAAGTCATGTTTTTTAACCTTCTGTTACAACTTGTTATACTTTTACCTCTTCTCCACCAGTTTATCATTTTCTCACAAAATTTTTAATTTATTTTTTTGCTAGCTTTTCTTATTTCTATCCTCTATGTCCTTTACTGTATTTTCTGTGTTGCCTGTTCTTTGCAACTTGATCTTCATTTCCAAAAAGGATTTTTCCCCTTCTATTTCATTCCTAACTTCTACCAATCTGCTTCTGGTTATCAACTTTGTTGTTTGAGTTCTTGTATTTTTGCTCTGAAGGTTTCCTTCAGTTGTTTGATTAAATTGTTCTTGCTTTAAAATATCATGTTGTATATAATATTCAGTATTCAAATTTCTCAGTTTGTCTTATAAATTTAAAAAAACCAATTTGTTTAAAAATAGAGGATAATGGTAAAATCTATCCATTGCAATTGATTGATATGTCTCTTAAATGTGCTTTCATTCTAGAAGATTCGTTTTTGATCTTTGTTGTTGTTTTGGTTCTGAAATTTACTTGAAAAAGAAACCAGGTCATTTGGCTGTAGAGATTCTAACAGTCTGCATTGCGCTGATTTTGTCCCTGTGGTATCTTTTGACATGTTCATCTACACTTTGTTCTTTCTGTGAATTGGTACTTAGATCTGGAAACTTGATCAGATTCATGTTCTTTGGTTGGTTGTATGTTTTGGAGAGAGACAGTTACTTTATAGTAAGGTATTTCCGTTAGTGGGCACATAATGTCTGATTGTCTCTCTTTGTTAGCAAGGATTGCTGATTGTTGCCTAAATCCATTTATGTACAAGAGGATGCAAAGTATTGATATAGTAATTCTATAATTTGTTCATTTACTAGTAGAATACTTCTATGAAGAGAAACTTTGCTTAATTGGTTATTAGTAACTCTGAGATATAATTTGTGTTGGAAAATCTGGATAAAGCCTTGATCCTTTCCCTTGAATTTCCCTTTTCCCAGTGTTCAACAATTATTTCTCTAGCATTGTCCAAAGTAACCAGTAAGTTTAAAAATTATCATTAGGAAATCATGAATTCAAAATATTTTAAGTATTTTAATCTATAGAGTTATTTCTCTTATTGAAGCATAAATTATCCCATCTTTGTCATGGGGGAGCCTCTTCAAGGTGGCTCCTGAATCCTTTTGAAGTACCACAGGGTAATTTGTATGCTTTTCAGTGGGACGAGATGTTCCAGGCTCATCTTGCGTATTTCCTGTCCTAGGTCACTAGTCAACCATTTCTGACCAGTAGTCAGGAATTCTGATTCTGTTTAGTGGCAAGTGGTGATTAGAAACCTCAGTCCCAGTGCAGTGGCATATGTGCCATTGATGCTGGGTGTGTTATTATCTACACTTTTTAGCAGCTAGAGACAGGAAATAAAAATTTTTTTTAATGAAACAATATGCAAACATACAGATACTTCCATTTCATATTTAGAACTACTAAGTGCTTAATCCCCAACCTCACTACTTTTAAATATTCCTATGTACTTTTTCCTATGTTGAAAATCCTGGTTCTGTGTCACCAACAAAATTTCTCATTTGCTTTATCCCATAATTCACACAATGCCAATAATACCACAGAAAACATGATTACTAAAAACAGTTTTAATTTTGTTATAATTCTTTTGCTTTTAGATTCTATGCCATTACAGATGTACAATCATATCTTGTATTTTGTAGTTGCCTTAAGAAGGTCTCCTTCCTCTATGTAATTATGTTGCCCATTTGATACATAGATTCATTTGTTTATTTTGCTTTTTATTTTTAGGATTTATTTACATTTTGTTTGTTATCATATATTTTACATCATTCCAAAGTCAAAAGTTTATGATTTTTTACATTAGATTTTTTTTACTTCACTTGAAATGTATTTGTATATACTGTAGGGTAGCTTTAACTATACATTTTCTCCAGCTCAGTTATTAATTGTTCTATCATTATTTATTAAATAGTTCAATTTTTTCCAAGAGATTTGAAATACCACATTAATACACATTTAATTTCTATGTTTGTATACAAGGAAGGTATGTTATTCTCTTCCTACCTTTTTAAACATGGATGTTTATGAGCAATGAATACTGATTTTTTAAAATACTTTTTTCCTCTCTTTTGAGGTGATCAGAGTTTTTTTCCCAATTTAAATAGTGATGTGATACATTTTCTAATATAGATTTGTATTTTAGATACAAATCTTACTTGGTTGTAAACAAGTATTTCAATATACTGTTGAATTCTATTTGCAGATATGTGCAGAATATTTTAGAGGAAGTAGTTGATAACTTTGTATATGCTTCTAGGTTAGGCCTTAATTTCTTCTGTCATGTCAGCTTGGAAGAAGCGTGGTAGGGACTGGAACTTAAAATTGAACTGAATTGTATTGCTAAGCTTTGGGTGGCCTTGTGTAAAGGGACGATCTCTATGAACACAGGGGCAATGAAGTATATTCCTGTAAACCACTCGGTTTTTCATTTTTGTTTTTCCAGGACTTAATCAACCCAAACCTACAAAGTATTTTTGGTCCTTTAAAGTTTTTCTTGTTCATGTTTACAAGAAACTGGTAACAGTGGTTGCCCTAGGCAGGGAATTGAGTGACTAAGAATAGAGAGATAGACTTACTTTTCATTATACCTTTTTAAAACAATTGTGATATAACATACAATTGCAAATATAACATAAAATTTGCCATTTTAATGAATTTAAGTGTATAATACAGTGGCATTGGTTACATTCACAGTCTTATGCAGCCATTATCTGGTTCCAAAATTTTTCATCACTCCAGAGAGAAACTACATACTCATTAAGCAATACCTCTCTATTCTCTCTTTTCTCAACCCCTGCCAACCTCTTATCTACTTTATTTCCATGAATTTGCCTATCACAGATATTTCATATAAGTGGAATCATACAATATTGGTTTTTTGGTGTCTGGCTTATTTTACTTAACAAAATGCTTTCAAAGATCACTGTGATGTAGTATGTGATGTAAGTATCAGAACTTCATTCCTTTTTAAGGTGAATAATAATGATGTTGAACATTTTTCATGTGTTTATTGGCTATTTGTATATCTTCTTTGGAGAAATATCTATTCAAATTGTTTGCCCATTTTTAAAAATTGGGTTGTTTGTCTTTTTGTTTTTGAGTGGTAGGAGTTCCTTACTTATGCTGGATATTACTCCCGTATCAGGTATGTATTGTTTTCTTTTTTGTACTGTCTCTGTCTACCTGATCTGTTAGAATGAATTAGGAAGTATTCCTTCCTCTTTAATATTTTGGAAAAGTTTCAGAGAGATTGGTATTAATTCGTCTTTAAGTGTTTGCTAGAATTCACCACCAATGCTTTCCAATCCTGTATTTTGTTTGTTGGGAAGTTTTTTGATTACTGATTCAATCTCTTTACTTCACATAGGCTTATTCAGATTTTCTATTTCTTTGTGAGCCATTTTTGGTAGTGTATGTCTTTTCAGAAATTTTTCTATTTCATCTAACCAATTTTATCCAACCTATTGGCATATAGTTTTTCATAGTATTTTCTTATAATCTTTGGTTTCAGTAATGTGGATAGTAATGTCCCCTGTTGTCATTTCTGGTTTTAGTAATTTGATTCTTCTTTTTTCTTAGTCAACCTAGTAAAGATTTGTCAAATTTGCTGATCTTTTCAAAAGACCAACTTTTGTTTTTCTATATTGTTTTTCTATTCACTATTTTTATTATTTCCCCTTTAGTTTTTATTGTTTCTTTTTGTGTGTTTTCTGTGGGTTTAGTTTACTTTTCTCTTTCTAGTTCTTTAATGTGTACAGCTATGTTATGGGTTTGAGCTCTTTTTAAAAAATTTGTAGACATCTGCAGCTATAAAATTCCCTCTGACCACCACCTTCAGTGCATCCCATAAATTTTGTTTCATTATGTTTTTGTTTTCACTCATTTCAAGGTAATTTCTAATATCTACTGTGATTTTTTTTCACTCATGGGTTGAGAGAATTGCTTTATTCTTTCAGTGCTTTAAAGATTTTATTACACTGTCTTTTGGCCTCCATTTTTCTGAAGAGAAATTCACTCATTTGTGTTTTGTTCCCCTGTATATAGTATGTCTTTTTTCTCTGGCTTTTTTAAATCTGTTCTTTATTTTTGCTCTTTATTGATTTAATTAAAATGTGCCTACATGTAGTTTCCTTTGTATTTATCTTGCCTGGAGTATGCTGAGATCTTGGGGTTGATGGGGCTGTATAATCAGTTTTAGGAGGTTTTTAATAATTATTAAGTATTTCTTCTTTACATTTACTTGTCTCTTCTCCTTTTGGGACTCCTATTATTATTCACATAAGACCATGTGACACTGTTTCAAAGAGCTTGGGCTCCCTGCCACTTCCCCCTTTTCTTCTCTTTGTTTTAATTTGGATACTTTTTATAGACCTATTGACCTGTCTTCAAGTTCACTGATCATTTCCATTGCTATGAATTCTTTATTTCTGAAATCTTATTTTCCATTTTTAGCATTTCCGTTTAGTTTTTTCTTACAGTTCCATGTCTCTGATTAAATTACCCAGTTCTTCCTACATGTTGTCCATCTTTTAAAAACTAGGTTGTTAGCACTTTTATTATGGTTATTTCAAAGGCAGTGTCTGATCATTCCAATATCTGGGCCACCTTGGGGTCGGTCAGCTTATATTAACTCTTTTCTGTCTTGATCATGGGTCACTTTTTTTATTAGCCTTTCATTTATCTTGTAATTTTTTCATCATATGCCAGACATTTTGTATGGAAGAGTAGTAAAAATTGGAATAAATGATATTTATCTCCAGAGAAAGGACATGCATTTTCTTCTTTTTTTCAAGTTGCTAGAGTGGAAGTTGAGACAGTCTAATCTGTAGTTGATCTGTGTTTGCGCTTTGTTGCAGCTTTAGTTTAATTCAGTTGAACCATGGCTGCAAATATTTTGAGGCAATCAAGATATTCTTTCACCAAGACCCCATGTTTGAGCACTAAAGGTTGTCTGGAGATTTTCAACTGTGCTTCACAGCTGAATTCTCACTTCATAGATCCCTTCCTATTTTATAGCTTAATTGGTAGGTCTTTGGGTTACCAAATAGTTCTCTTAGCTCTCCAATCCCACTTTATGCTTTCTGTACCTTGGGAGATCTCTTTCAGCCCTAACAGCTCCTCCCCTGAAGTTTTGAGGGCAGCCACCCTGTGTGCTGTAATGGTTTAGCATGCTTCTAGGGGGTTTCCTTTAGCTCTCCTGTCCTGATCCCAAACTTTAATAGGTGAGAGCTCAGGTTGCCTAAAGGAAGTTTGCTCATCTCTCTGCTTCAGCTATTCGTGACTAATTGAGTCCTTCTGAAGACCATGAAAGAGTTGTTCAGTGGGCCCAAACTCCCTCTGTGCCTTTCTTTTTTTTTTTTTTTTATTAAGGTATTATTGATATACACTCTTATGAAGGTTTCACCTGAAAAAACAATGTGGTTACTACATTCACCCATATTATCAAGTCCTCCTCACACCCCATTGCAATCACTATCCATCAGTGTAGTAAGATGCCACAGAGACACTATTTGCCTCAGATCACGGCTTTGGTACGTTACCCTGTTCCAGGAGATCTGTTCTTTTCTCCTGGTGTATTCAGACTGATGCAGTCTTCTTTCCTGTTGCTCTTTCAGGATTAGTTGTATTAATTATATTTTCGTATTATATGTGGTTTTAGGAGGAGGCCTCTGTCTCTCCTCTCTTGCCACCATCTTTAATCTTCCTGGCTAAATTTCTTAAGATTTTAATTTGCCATGCCAGCCAACATGTGGCTTTTAGTTTTGGGTGCGTTCTTTTACAAACTCTATGTGTGGCTGGATTCTTCTTCCTCCTATTGTATCAAGAATGAACACAGCTATGGGTCTCTTCTCTCCTATGGGGAGCTCACCTTTAAATGGAATTAGTTTATTTCGTTTGCTTTGTTCCTTTAGCCCTTTGATTGTTTTTTTTAAATATGTTTTCATAGTTTTTTTATTAGAGTGAGAGAAATGATCTCTTTCATCTTTCTATGAACAAACTGGAACTAGAGCCCCTAAAGTATGTCCTTTTGTGTTTGTTTTTCAGATTAATATATTTTGGTGGCTATGGGTATAGGAAACACAGTGAACTCCAAGACTGTTTTGATGTTCATGATGCATCTTGGGTAAGAGTAATCACTGTACATTTTCTCTCATTTAGTATCATCTTAGAGTACTTAGAAATAATGAGCCCAATCTTTCTGATTTCAATTTGTCATAATTCACACTATGGAAAAATGTTTTTTCTGTTTAGGATTTGGATTCAGTTAGAGAAGGTTCTCTCACCTAGTAGTATTAGCCATCATGGCTACTGGCAGAGTACATTCTTACATTGTTAATTGCTTATACATGTTTAGGTTAGACAAGTAGAGGTTTTAGCATAGTGTGGAAAAACTGGTTATAGGTGACCAAAATGGCTATTACTAACATACACCTTCTTTTGTATATGTCCACCAGAACTGTTAATAGCTCAGACTGGCCTCTATGTGAGAGCATGGTTGGTAGTGATATTACCTTTCCTACTTATTCTTACTACTTATTTCCTACTTATTCTTGGTTAGAGAATAAGCTATTATTAATGAAAGAAGACATGACTTAAACAAATGAAATCTTTTACAAGATAACTTTAAAAATCATTAATCCCACCATGAAGATACACAGTAGCTCTTCCATTTTACATTCTACTAGCATATCTTATTATTCTACATTATTAATGTAGATGTTTATGTATCTTTCATATATCTCTTCCTATATGAGTATTTAAAAAATTCTCCATGTGTTTACGTGGTTTTTGAGTTTTTAAAATGAAATATTCTTAAAACTTTGCTACTTACAATATTACTGATAATTACCAGAAATAGAACTTCCCATTGTTTATGTCTAATTATTTATACTCATCAGTGAAATTTCTCATTGTTTTCTCCATAGTACAGTTAGGTTTATAATCATGTCCTGAAGTTTCTGGTGTACAAGTACATTTTTTCATTTAGATTCTAAAATAAGCAAATTGTTTCATTTATTTGACTTGTTTGCAAGTTCTAACAAAAAAGAATGCTGTATTTCTGACATAGAGCATAAAAACAGCACAGAAGTAAACTAGAGTGGTGATAGGAGATTTCAATAATCTGAAAGATGCTAAATACAATGTAACTGCTAAATCTTTTCCTTGCTGACAATTTTGTCCCAGAAGATATAAAATAGAGTGAACATAAGTCTGACCTATAATGACAAATCAGTTAGATTGAAATGTTTGGAACTTTTTGGAAAAAGGAATCATGATCCCCTAAAGTTTCTAGTAGCACATATTAGGAATTCTGAGCATGTACTTTAGGGACACAGATTTTAAAATATAAATATTATTGTGTCCTCTGCAATTTTAAAAGAGACAATACTGTAAGAGAATTAGATTATTGTCAGCAAATAAAATTATGACTCACTGCAAGCAATACTATGAGAAAAAAGCTGTCAGGCGCTTCTGCTATTGGTCTGGGGACCACATTTTGTGAGCCACTGGTGTATGCATTTGCCTTATGACTATGGTAATACTTAACTCTATTTTCTAAAGATCTATATTTCTTCAGCAAATACACAATGAAACTACAACAATGATTTAAAAATTATAAAGGCTTTTAAATATTTTAAAATTTTCTGTCTTAGGAAGAAGAGATATTCTGGGGATGGCATAATGATGTTCACGTATTTGACACAAAGACACATAGTTGGTTTCAACCAGAAATTAAAGTAGGTATTGTAAAAAGTTACCTTTATATTCATATATTTATTGATACCTTCAAAATTATTTTTTACTAATTTATTTGGATTTTAAAAACTGAGTTTGTAATCACAAAGGGGTTCTCTTGAGTGTTGTCACTAGTACTATTTTTTTTTAATCACATATTTTTCTCCAGGCTAATTCAGGTTTTCTAGAAATATCTAAAGAGGGGCCATCATCATTCTTTACCCACAAGTGTGATGCCCTGATTTAATAAAGGCTCTTTTAAAAAGTCCTTTCATAACAAAGTCCATAATTTTAAAAAGCTCTTGTCTCATGACTCTTGAAATCAGCACTACATGAAGTTATAGCATGACAAAAAGACATCCTTACTACTACTACTTCATGTGCTAGTGAGCAAACACAAATTCAAATTGGTTAAAGCAGTAACAAATTCTTCTATAGCTGGAAAGTATATTTTGATGTGGCTCATATAGTGAAAGAAAGAGCTGCAAGGACCAAGGCCTTAAGAAGTGGAGCAAATGATTTACCCAATCACAATGCTTTCCATCTGTCTGTGTCAGCTTTTCCCTGCTTCTGTGTGTGTGCTAGCTTCATTCTGTCTTCTGTAGACTGACCAGCTCAATTAGGAGGGAATATGTCAGAATGTCAGAATAACTTTCAGGTATAATAAGTTCTTTCTACTGGTGCTGTATTCTCTTGATGTCTATATAATAGAATCCTAGTAAAGGACTCTGGCTATTTGGGCACGTTCCCACCCTTTACATCAGTCCCTGTTGGCAAGGGAATACTTGGCCAGGCCTGAGTTTCAGGCCTATCCCCTGGGGAGCAAGGCATTGTGATCAATAAATTCATCAGAGCTGTTCAGACTGGAATGCTGAACAGGAAAACCAAAATTGTCCTGAATGATAGGCATTCATGACTAAAATTCCTTGCAGTCTGACTTTTGCTGATGGAAGTGATGAAAGGTTCCATGCCAAGTAACATTATCAGGTTTGACCCTTCTCAGCATTCTCTTTTCCAAGCAGTGAATTTCAGGTTCCCAGGGCTCTTCTGGCCTGTTCACCCATTTCTAATTTTAGAACAATCAGTCATTTATATTTGTCAATTGAGTTTTCTTTCACTCAACATTTGAATTTTAACATTTGCTTATTTTATTAATGAAATAAAGGCATTTTATCTCTGTTGCAGTAGTTTCATGTCAGCAAGCAGGTACAGAGAAATGTTGAGACTGGATCTACTGAAGCTCATCCTAGATCTCTTTCAGGCCTCTTAACCCTCTTCTTCCTTAGAAAATAAGCAAGGGTCTGGAGCTCCTGATGGTCCATTTTTAGAATGTGCCCCTGCACATAAAGGAACTGAAGCAGCTTGTAATTATTTCTTTTGGACTTAAAGTCTTTCTCTGACTCCTTTTCTCTCTCCCTACTTTAATCTATATCCCTCCCCTCTTTCTGCCTCAACAGTCTTACATACACATGATGCTATTTTAGTTAGTATTTAACAATATATTCACTACAATTTATTTGATGATTTCTTCAAATAAATTCTTTGATTGTTTTATTATACCTGGAAGTTATTCTGACATGACTGTGGCTGGAATTCATTTTCTGTTTTTTAGAGACATTCTTAATTTACTGCATATCTGCATCACAAGGCAAGACAACACGGTAGGCAACAGTTATTGGTGTTGAATTAAAAAAACTGGACTTGTGTTCTAATTGTGTCAGAAAAGAGCCGTGGGCTTTAGCTAAGCCATTTAGTGTGTCGTCTATAACACTGAGGGATTGAAAGTGTTTTCCTATATGGGATTTTTAATGTGTTAAGAGCAATATAGTAGCAATAGGGATCTTTGAGTTATTTTCAGTATTTCAAACAACCTAATACACAGTGTACATTATTTACACAGGCACACATGCTAATACAAGTGCCATTTTTGTTTTGTTTTGTTTGTGACTACATTATTTAGAAGCTTTGGTTGGCTGGTAAATGTATTTGATAAATTAAAAGGGGGATATTTATATTTATTTCATAATAAATATATATGTAATAGAAGAATTTTTCCAAAATTTCAGATCAGGGATGGTGTAATAATAAAACTTTTATTTTGCTGGAATGTCTGGGAACCCACAGCTCAGATAGTTCTCTCTCATTTATTTGTTATATAGGTAATACCTGAATGATTTCTTACCATATTGACTTCAGCAGTTATTCAAGTAAGCCTGAAAAGTCTAGGAGGTTACTGTATCAGAAGTAGAGCTTAAGTTTCTTCTGCCACATTTAGTGGCCAATGGACTGAAAATGTTGGGTTCTTTCAGAATTTGGAATGAAATATGCACACAAAGGCATTCTCATTAGCACATGGAAATTATGCAGAAAATTCTTCCTTCCAATTTTATTCATTCACTTACCCATTATACTGTCTTCCCAACAACCCAAAACTTCTCAAGAAAAGATGTGCTGTTTTTTAGAGTATTTATTCAAAGTAAAATACAGAGAAAGCATTATCAGTTAATGTGAAGAGTTTTAGTAAGAGATAAAGTACTGTTTGCCTTAAGCCAAGAGTAAAGTTTCTTACTGTAGAACTGAAGCACCAAGAGTTTTGGGGGGCAGATTTAACTTTTTGGAGTCTCAGAGAT